GGGGGGGGGGGGTTTGAACTGAAAATCTCGCTGATTAAACATCCATTTGGCATGTTCATCAGTGAGAATTTTGCAAGAACTCTGAAGGTTTGGGTTTTTTACTGAGAGAGAAAGAAGAGATGCACAACAAAGGAGAATGAGTGTAATGACACAGAATTTTCGGTGTTCCTCTTTTAGATCACGGGTTTTGTAAACCCTAAAAGTGGAGATGGGCTTTCATCAATAGGGGACCTTTTTTTATTGTTACAAAAATATTGATTTGTCTATTGGCTCAATAGCGATTACATGATTCTTTTATTTTATTTTATTTTTTGTTAAAAAAATGTGTATTGGGTTCAATTTGAAAATTATTTTTTCGTGACTTCACCAAATCGGGCTCATTAAACAAATAGCCTTACTGAGAATATAGGCCAACGTCACCTTTATAAATTTTTTTTAATAAAAAATATTAAGCTCAATTCACCATATTTTTTTTTAATATGTTATCCAACCCAATTTAACAGCTGTTTATAAAACAATTATTTGTTCATTAGGTAATTTTGACTCAAATGTTTATATTTGATGACAATTATAACAAATTCAGCAAATATTTTATTATTACATATTTATTTGAGGGTATCGTTCAAGTTTCAACAAAGACCATTTTCTATGGTCTCCTATATGCTATGACGATCAACAAGAGTCAAGATCAATCTCTCTCTCACACGTCGGCTTAGTGTTGACGAACCATGTTTTTAGTCATGGACAATTGTACATTGTTCTTTCTAGAGTCACGAATCAGAAGGGTTTGGAGATAATGATAACGTGGTGATGGTGATGGTGATTCTGATATGAAACCATGAATATGTATATAAAGAAGAGTTATAATATTTAAAACCATTTCTTAATTCATATTTTTTTCATGAATTAAATTATGAAATGTATTTTTTTATGTTGTTTTCTTTTCTATGTATTCTCTTCCGTGCAAATGCACGGGATGAGTACTAGTGTGGTTTTAAAATAAAAAAATTGTTCATTAATGTAATAATTAAATAATAAACAATGTATTTTGGAATATGATCGTAAATGAAGTACATATGTATATATTACATATATAATAATAACAAAACTTGAAAATTACAATGGCATCCCTATATTCCATGTAAATCCGCCTCTGGACAAAACTGTAACCCTTAGTACCGCATTAAGAATTAGAGCTGACAGAACACAAAAAAAGTTCATAAACCTCCAACTGAACATACAAGACCATCACACGAACCAAAACACCAGAAAGATGGTAATTCACATAATCATTCATGATCCATTCACCCTTGAGATGTATAAAAATCATCATGTTTGACTCCATCTAAAAAAAGCGATACATCTACCTTTAATAAAAACAATCACATCACTTACATTTTAAGGAACGTTAAAATAAAAAATAAAAACATGCAAGTATTTTTTTATTGTTTTTTGCAGTATATTTTGCGTACTTGAGGAAAACTTGATCATTTTTTTCTGTGTTGTAAAGATGATTAAAATTACCATTCAAATTTTATATCTTTCAATTTTCTAAGCAAAATCGTTTCATATATGATGTTCATTCCATTGTCAGCAAGTATTTTTCTTTTTTGTTTTTTAGTAACAGAACGGTAATCATACGCAAAACAAGTGGGTAGAGGTTGAAAGGGTATGATAACTAACTTTAAACATTAATTTAGTTAACTCTTATTTTTTAGTTATGAACATTGGGTACTGCACCATTACCGGGGCGGAATTGTGGGGGATTTTCCGCGGGCTACAACTTGCATGGGACTTGGGGTATCGCAAGATTATGGTGGAGCACTACAAGAAATTTCAGAAAACATGACGAAAAAATTCGTTATGTAAACCTTATTTTTCGTCACAAAAGTAAATTGATGACGAAATTTTGTCGTCACAGGGATCGTCACCGTAGCCGCGTCATATTAGGTGTATGTGACAAATTTCGAACTTGTCACCAAATGTTTCACTTTTAATGACGATTATATGTATCGTCATGTTATTTGGTCATCTGTCATGACGATAATTTCGTCACGTTTATTATGAGAATATTATCATGTAAACGATTATTTTGTCATAAAAAGACAAGTTTTAAATGACGAAAACTTAACTTTATCATCTAATAGTTTTTTTAGTGACAATTTTTATTATTTTATCAAATTTATAAAATTTCAGTGACGAATATCTTTGTGGTGTTTTCGTTATAAAAGTCGTCATATTTCATATAATTCGTCATGAAAAAGTTACTTTATAATTACAAAATATTGGTCGTCGCAAAAAGAAAATTCAAATATGACGATAACAAAAAAGTCATAAAAATTATAGTTACGAAATATTCATTGTATCAAAAAAATACAAACACGGTGAATTCTTTTGTCAAGAATTAATTCTATGATTACGAAGAAAAAGATCGTCATCAAAAGCTTGCTATATAATGACAACATAAATTTTCGTGAAATGATAAATATTCAGTGACAAAATTTATCGTCATTAAAATTTTGTATGGTGACAAATCCAAACAAATCCATCACAATTACATGTCATAAATTGACATAGTAAATCTCATTGTATCATGTTTCTAAATTGACATATCTCCTAATAGAGTGTCTTGAATATATCAACCTCGAAACACTAGCCTCGGGACCTTCTCTTGCTAAATCCTAGCAGCCACACAAAAAAATGTTCGCCTGTATGTGTTAAAGCTTTTCGAATCAATGTATAGTAATTAAAATATGAAGAAGTATGACATTAAAGTAAGTTCGCACATGACTAACATGAACCTTATTACTTACATGTAACGTTTGAGGTAAATTTTGTTCTCAGTGGCAGCCATGAAAGCCATAAGCTTATCAATACTTGCACCTTGTTGACTTTTGAAAATCCTGAAAGAAGAAAGAAATAAAATGAAAAATGAGTTGTCTCACAAGAATAAGTTTGGTTGTGCATTAACAAACCTGCCATGTCTAGAAAGGTCATTAATTAACCAGTACATACTCTCTCAACAGCCGGTCCATGTTCCAGTTGCAGTCTAAGAACAGTGTTTCTAGTAGCAATCATCAGTTCCATGAGAGTCGTGGCCCCTAATATGCATGTCAAAGCAAAAAAGGGAAAAATTAAAATCAAAATAAAATTTAAAAGGAAATCAACAAAAACAAAAGTGACATGTGATCAATAATATTTGCAATAGCAAGTACTTCACACGAACGACAAAGCTCAAACCATAATGCACATAGGCACATGCAATAGCCAAGGACAAACCCATTTAATCAAAACCACGACCCTGCTGCCTTGAGTTATAAGAACATAAATTGTTTCCTGCGGATCATGATAATCACAAGACGATGTCAGTTTATAGTTAACCCACTAAAAAGGTACAATCACCATAGAAAAATTTGCCAAATAGACAAATACTGATGACAAGATTGGAAATTCTAGATCTGTGGTTTTATTACGGTAATTATTATTAACATAAAAAATAAATATAGAAATACAATTGAAAGAAACATCATTTCTTGTTAATATTTACCAACTTTTCTTTCTTGGGAGATATCACTCAATTAAGGAATAGGTTATAATTGCCCGACAAGCAACGCCTAATGGACTTAAATTGTAGCAAAATTATCCAAATTCAGCTCAGTCGGAGCAGGGGTGAAGAAAAGAAAAAAGAAAAGGAAAAAAGAAAAAATAAAGCACATTAATAGACTGAATTTTATGCCTTAAAAACCAACACCGAGTTCTTCAAATTATAGCTATCTATCATTATATCTAAATAATCAAAACGAAGTCCAAGAATTAGTGGGTTACCTATGACAATATTTGCTTCAAGACATGGGAAACCACAAGATCACTTCAACTTGGGGTGACATTCAGTTAGCAGAAACTAATTAATTAAATTCTTTCTCTCTTTCTTTCTGAAGCCGCCGTCGCTCAAGTTCTCGTCCCTGCTTCTGATCGCAGTTGCTTTTCCCATTGTAGCATTGTCCTCAACAGTTGTACCTGGCATTCACTTCAGCATATAAATAAACATGTACATATAAGCATATATTCTATGAATACTACCTTCGAGTTTATCCTGTATCACAACATTCTTGTTAATCTTCTGAAATTATAACACCACTGATAGAGGTTATCTTAACACTTTGATGCGGTTATTACCTGTACTCCACAAACTATAATCTTGAAATACAAACATATAGCAACACATATTCAAAACATAAGCTAAAAGTAGTCGCATCTTATTGAACGAAAGGATAATATTTAGATTTCCCTCGAATCCCAAATATTATATACAAAAGCATATTCAAAATAGACGCAAATTACTCTCAAATACTGACAACACAAATAATACATTCTGATTTTAAATCACAAATTGCACATATCCAACTCTAATTTAGGAGAAATTCAACCACAGTGGTGTACATATAGATCCACAAAAAAAGAGAAAAAATTTATAAGTGTACAGATAGATCCACAAGAAAGAGAAGAAAAAATAATAATCAAGGAGCTATGATATAATGTAGGATCCTCAAGAAGAGGGTCATATTGTGTGTATTGGCAATATGGTCCAAGAAGAATAAATGAACATATTTTCACAACTCCAGCCAAAAAAACACACACAAATCACACTACTCTTCCTTGGCCTTGGTTTTAACCAGAGCCTTTCTCATCTGCCACATTATGCTTGAGTATCAAAAGGGTAATATAGTAATAATCGAATGAAAAATTCTACCTGTTTGGCATTCTCACGTTGTACTTAACGGTGCTCCTCATGTACTGCAGCGCACATCAGATCAACCCCACCTCGCTACCAATCACCAGAGGGTACAACATCGGAAACGTGTTGTACCTTAGCCATACCAGCCCGGGTGGCGCGTGTGCGGATGCCTCCTTGAACCAGAAGACCGAGTAGCGGATAATCTCCACAATCGACCAGCTGACGACGAGGGATCCGACTAAGAAATGAGTCCAGATCTCGGGGAAGCTGTACAGGATGGCCCACGCGACTTAGACCCGGCCGCTTACTTCGGAAAGGGTGGAAGCGACCGGAGATCTGACGATTCCGGTCAGGCTGTGGAGGATCTCTGAGAGCGTGGCGGATTGGGCGAGGAGGAGGGGGTTTTCGACGGCGGCATAGACAGAGCGGTGGCTGGTGGTGATGAGGGCAGTGGCCGCGATGTTGGGGACCTGGGACCCGCCGAGGAAGAGGGTCCAGTTGTAGAGGACGAGGTAGGTTCGCTGGAGGGAGGGGAATATTTCGGCCATCAGAGTATGGATTGGCGGTGGTTGTTTGGATTTGTGGGGTGCAATGTGTGCCTTATTGTTCGACGGGTGCTTTTTAGAATGGATTTGTGTGGTAAAGATATTTTATTTAATTTAAGTAGGTAGGATTTGGGAGTGATTTTTTTTTTTTTTTTGGTAGAATTCACTCTAGTTGTCAATGCCTAATGATTTTGTTGTTTCCTTGATAATAAATTCAATCCACACTCAATTAATATTTAAAAATTAATTTAATATTATTTCAGTTTTATTAGTT